TGGCCCCCAGGCCAGCCCCCGCTCATAGGAAACAGCGCCCCGATGTACACTGCGCGCCGTTCTGAGGAGGGGTGCGGGGGGACCCGCGGGTGAGGCCGCGGGAGATGGGGGGAGTGGGAGGCCCACAACGGAGCCACCCCCGCCGCCATCACCATCAGGAGCGGCAGTGGCCACCCCACCCGGTGGGAGGGGGCCCCCGAACCCATGATGGGGGGGCGGGGGTAGCCGCTTGAGGAGGGGGAGGAGCTCAGGGGGGACACTTTTCCTGGGGAGGGCTGCTGGATGGGTGACGAGGAGGCGCCTCCATCCCTTGTTTTGTGTGGAGGAGGGGGCTAGGGCCCCGGGGAAGCAGAAATGGTTGGCTTCCTACAGCCCCCAAAGCTCCAGCTCGCCCCACCGCCACCGCGGACTCTCCTCGCGGACTGACTGACCGACGGAGGGGAGGAGGAGGGAGATGCGAAGCTGGGAGGGGGCTCTGACGTCACGGGCGGAGCGCGGCAGCGAGGAGGGGGGGACGGGAAAGAAAAGGGAGGGTGAGGGATGTAGGGGGCGGGGAGGGAGGCAAGAGCCTAGGGGCAAAGCCAGTCAAAGCGAAAGAGGGGCTGACGAAAGAGCAACGAAAGAGGAGCAAAAAGCGTAGGGGAAAGGAACAGAAAGGCCAGGGAGGGGTCTCACCTAAGGGGACAGAAGAGGAGACGAGCGGGGAAGGGGCGTGCCGGGAGGGCGGGATGAGCCGAGGGAGCCAAGGGAGGCTGGAGCATCAAGGAGCCAGGCATGGGGAAGGGAAGAACCTTAGTGGAATGCGAAAGAGAGGGGTTTGCTGCGGAGTGGCTGAAATGAATTGTGGATAAATGGTGTGAAGGCCTAAGGGTCCGTGAAGGAGACAGGGATGGGACGGTTTGGGAGAGAGAGAGTTGGATGGAGAAAATAAGGAACTGGTTGAAAGGGAATAATAGCAAAAGAGGACAGGAACTTGGGGCTGGGAGAATGGAAAGGGATCGGATAGGCAAGGATTTGGGAAGGTGCGGAAGGAGAGAGCAACAGAGGCCTGGCCAAGGTGGAGATGGGTGGGATGCGCTGCTGGAGTAGCTAGGCAAAGTACAGGCAGAGAAAGGTTCTAGGAAAGGTCGGGGCATGGGGGGTAGGAACTCCCTAGAGTCGAAGGAAGCTCAGGGTCTCCCAGTACCCTGCCGCCCCCTGCTGGGCTTCTGTCATTTTTACAGCAAAGCTGAGACTGGAGGAGGCGGAGCTGAGGGAAGCGCAGCCGAGCAGGGACTAGGGAGGGACGGCAGCCCAGCAGAAAACCGGGACTGGAGGCAAGAAACAGGTAGGGCGAGGGGAACTGTCAAGAACTGGGGTAGAGGGAAGATGGGAAATAGACGGGACCCCCACAGCCTAGGGCCATGATGCCGCCGGGAGGTGGAGGGTGAAGAATGAGGGGTAAGGGAATTGTAGTGCACGCGATTTAGGGTTTCTCATCTCACCTGAATGTGGCGTTCGATTCACTGGCAGCAGGAAAGACGGGATCAGAGAAGAGTTACCACTGGCGCCCAGCTTCCCTGGCCAGATCCCCAGCCCCCTCCCACACCTGTTCCAGCCGAAGACGGGAGGGTGCCTGGGGATAAGAGCAAGGTGGGACTGGGGGTCAGCATTTGTGGGTTTTCTGCTTTTATTTTTCATGGGACAATATAATTTGGAAAAGGACCATCAAATGCTAAGGTAGGAAGAGGTCATACTTTTGTGGAGTCTGAAGATAATAAAATTTGGGGGCGCTCTTTAAGAAAACAAATAACAAATATAATTGGTTTTAGCCAACTGCTGTTAAAATATCTTACTTTAGTAAATTTTACTAAAACCTATTACTGAGCACATTATAAATTGCTCTCCTTTATTAGAAGACGGGAAGAGACTGGGTAAGTCAGAGATTCAGATGCTTAAGTTTCACTAGCTTCAAGGTAAATTCATCACCCCGGGTGGCTTTCCACTTTCCAGAATAGAATGGTAAACTGAAAGTAGAATAACTGAGTTTAATAAAGAAATCCAGGCCTGAGGTTCTACAAGGATAGAGGGTAAGAAATGGGACATCAGCATCCCAGGAAAGGAGGAGATCTCAGAGGGAAAGGAAAGAGTCTGGGTGCCCAGGGAAAGGGGAACTTTGTAGAACTAAATGGTACAAAAGGTAGGGGGCACAACTTGATGGTAATGATGGGCGTTGTCTGGGAGGTAACTGAGGTTGTCCTCTTCCCCCACCCCTGAGTTGTCCTTAATGTTCTGCCAATTTTCCCCCCAGTTTTAGGGCTTTTTACCCTAATACTTTTACACCCCAGATCTCATTTCAAATCTTAACAGTTTTTTTAAATATGGCATAAGATTTATTTCTGGGTCTTTACAATAACAACAACATAATAAAAGAGATTTTGTTGTTAAGTGCCCCGTCGAGTCAGTTCCGACTCATAGTGACCCTGTATAGGGTTTCTGAGGAGCAGCTGGTGAGCTTGAACCGCCGACCTTGCGTTCAAACCAACTTTGCAGCCCAGTGCATTAACCCACAGCACCACACCAGAGTAGAAATATATTATTGAATGGGGAGGGATTGATTCTTGGAGAGGGTGTCAGATATCCTTGTTGGTAAGTGCTGTTGAGTCAGTTCTGACTCATAGCAACCCTGTATAGGATTTCTAAGGAGTGGATGGTGGTTCTGAACTGCTGAACTTGAGGTTAGCAGTCCAGTGATTATCCTACCAGGAAAGGGTGGTGCATAGAAAGGTCTAAAGTGTAGAGAAAGGGATTGAGGTTAAGGAAAAACCTTCCAGAGGATAAGATTCATAGAAGAGAAAAGGTAAGGCCCAAGAATTGGAAGTGGGGGGAAAGACATAATTAAGGAAAAGTAAAAGAAGGAAACCCACAACGTATAACAAGTGGAAACCAGTACTAGAGGAGGAAGTTGGGGCAAATAGGCAGAGGAAAGAGTTAGTTAGGCCTTGATCTGGGCCTCCCCAGGCCTCTCCCCCTCACACACATACTTTGTACAGCACCTTGTCCTTTCCCACCATCCATTCCCACCCCACTCTCATCCTTGCAATGGCATTCTCATAAGCTACAGACAGTCAGCTGTTCCCCTCACCCTGGCAGTGGGGCTTGGGGGTGCTCCACTGGCCCTGACTACAGATGCTCCGGGAGCTGCCCACCAGATGGAAGTCAGGGTCACATCGGAAATCCACCCGGGCTCCATCCAGAGCTGGGAGGTCCCCACCCGTCAGGAAAATCTTCCCATTTTCCAGGGTCAAATAAGATTTGGAGCAGATTCGGACTGTGGAGAGAGAAATAAAACAGAGGCACGTTGGAGGACGCTCCTTCCCCTTAGGGAGGAAGGAGCTCAGACTGGGCTTTGGGTCCACCAGCAGTCTGCCCAGAAGGAAAGCAGGTGGAAAAAGTACTCCTCCCTCTAGCTTCCACACTTCCCTTAACCCTTCACTTTCCCAAAAGAAAAAAAGGAAAAGGCACTTCCATTGTAGAACCCAAGATGGAGCTATAAGCACATAAAATGGGGTCTTTTCAAAGTTGGTTACAGTGGTGGGGGGGGGGGTTCTCTAGCTTTGAAATGTGTGGATGGAGAAGTCTTTGGATGTACAATCAGATCTGTCTGCCTTTCTTATTATAGTCAGCTTATACTAATATTAAACTGACTTTTGTTTAGTAGGCATACAGTTTCTGGGTGGGAGCCAAAGACATGAAAAAAAATGAGATAATCCTTTTTTATAAAACATTTTGCTCAATCTGCCACTAATGCTTCTAAAAGAGTATAATAACTCACAAATATCTCTTTTACATAGTAATTGTTCAATAAATGCATTTTGAATTCTGTTACACTTGATTTAAAGTGCTGACTTTGCAAGTGGTAAATGCTAAGTTTGAGGAGAGACAGGAATGGTCTAGAAGAGGGGAATGGTGTTGCGAGGTTACTCACCACAGCGGCTGGGTGTGTCCATGTCGGTCCAGGAGCCGTTGGCCAGGCACTTGCGGACCTTGGGCCCCACCACCTCGCGCTCCCCCCGGCACACATACTCGATTTCATAGTCCACGGGCAGGAAGTTGATAGCCTTCACCTGGTCCCGAGTCAAGCCTCGGTACCTGATGCCCCCTTCCCAGGGCGGGTGTATGATTTGGCAGCCTGAAGGACGAGTCCGGAAGGCGTGCAAAGAATGGTGGCAAAAAGGAAAAGGCAGAGTCAGCTACCAGAGGCCCGGGAGTGTAGGGCGTGGTCAGTGGGCAGGTTGTGGGCTGTGGCGGAGGGGTAGGATACCAAGGGGAGGTGGGGACTGGTTCAGAACCCTGGACTGAAGGACTAGGAGTTACGGCCCGGCTTAGTGCAGAAAAGAGCGCCCACAAGTAGGGAGGGGAGGGTGCCGGTTGCGGGAAATGGAGAAAAGTGAGAACTCGTGAAGGGCTGATAAACGATGGAACTGGTAAGGAAGACTAAGAGACATATTTTGAGTTGAATTAGGATAGGAGAGGGGAGCCTTATGAGGCTACCTGGGCAGCAATGGGGTACCAAAGAAAAGGAGCAACAGAAGTAGTAATGTAGAGCCAGGAAAGAGGGCAGGTGCCAAGACAATAATGTGGAGTCAGAGAAAGGTGGTCTAGAGTACTGTGGAGCAGAGTAAAAGGGGGTGCTGAGTAAGTAATGTGGGATGGTGGAAAGGAGGTCAGGAGTAGTACTTGGGGTCGAACAGAAAGGGTTGCCAGGTAGTGACGAGATAGTGATGAGGACTAGAAAAGGGGGGGGGGTTGCAGAAAAGGGGGAAGTGGGGAGAAGGAAAGCCCGAGATCGCTGGAGAAGGGTGCACCTTCCGAGGTGGTGTTCGGGGTCTGCGCCCCTCCTGCGCCCAGGGGGCGGAGGAAGAGCCGCGCCAGCAGCAGCGGCAGCAGCAGCAGCAGCATCTGAGTAAGAAGCAGCCGTGAGGACTAGACCGAGTTCTGCAGGCGCGACCCGACCTGCAAAGCGGCCCAGCCTCCCTCCGGGTTCCTCCAGGGCTCAGACCCCGCTCAGCCCGAGGCCGAGCGGAGTACCCCGCGGAGGAGGCGGGGGCGGAGCCCCGCGCGGGTGTGGAGGGGGAGAGGAGGAGAGACGCCTGTCCCCACCCTCCTCCTGCCTCCCTCGGTCCCCCACCCTCCCGGGACTCCACCTCTCACCACCTCCTCTCCCGGCCCCCGCGGCTCGCCAGAGCCGGCTTACCCACGCTCCCCGGATCGTCTGCCTCACCGATCCCCGACCCCTTCCCCGCAGTTCCTCGGCCCCAGCCCCGCATGCCCCCGGCTCTGGCCCGCGGGTTCGCCGGCCTCCCCCACGCGCCCTCGCCAAACCCTTTTTCCCCGGCCTTGCTCTTACCTCGGCGCGCCGCCCGGCTCCCCGGCTCTCCCCGGGCCTCAAGGCCCCAAGCCCGGCCGCTCCTCCCCGCTCCCACTTCTCCCCTCCTCCACCTTCCCCTCCTCCTGGCCCTTCTCCCCTCGAATCCGGCCTCCAGCCCGGTCGGGGTCTCTCCCCTCTTTTCGCCTCCCCTCCTCTCCCGTTTCCTTCAGACCCCACCCCCGTTTCTCCTTTCCCGGGGCGGCGGCGGGAGCCGGGAGGGAAGGAGGCGGCGCCGGGCACCGGGGAAAGCTCCCGGGCGGAGGGAAGAGGAGGGTGCAGGGGAAGACAGGGCGGGGGGAAGGGAGGGGGAGACGGGGGAGAGGGCGCCTCCCACAACTCGAGCCCCGGGAGCCGCCCCAGATCCCGGCCCCGCCCTGGACCGCCCACAGCTCTGGAGGGGGGGGGGTGGCTGGAGGAAGGGGACGCCCAGGTACTCGCAGCACGGACGGGCACCCAGCACTGCCAGGGACCAATCTGAGAAACCGGGCTGGGGGCGAGAGAACCCGAGCCAAAGGCAGAAGAGCTGGCTCCAAGACAGGGAGTCTGGAATGGATGCAGGTGGAGAAAAGACAGTAGCACAAAGAAAGGCAGTCCCTTGGATGGGCGAGAGGGAAGAGGCCAAGGCCTAGAGCCAGGAGAACTGAGGAGAGCAAGGAGAAGCCAGGGTCAGACCAGGAAAGGAGGGGCGGGAGGGGAAGGGGGGGTGCTGGGATGGGAGAAACCAGGAGGTACCTAGGCGGAAGAAGAGTTGGGTAGAGAAATGAGAGATCTGAGAGACCAGAGCTGCCCCATAGGTCCAGCAGCTTTGCTGCTCTGCTCGCTTATTCCATGAAGGGACTAGAGAAGGTTGGTAGTAGTAAAAGAGGAAGGAGGATCATCAAGGAAAGAAATTGAGGCAGAAGTGGGACAGGGAAGGCAAGAGAAGAAAACCTCTAGGTGGGCCCGGTAATCATCTGTTGACAAGAGAAATGGAAGCTCTAAAGACAGGATGGGGAAGTGCTGATCTTTTGACATCTCACAAAGGCTGTGTGTGTGTGTGTGTGTGTGTGTGTGTGTGTGTGTTAGGGTGGACGTTTGGCAGGAAGGGGAGGCAGCTGAGATTCTCTACCTTCAACCCTTTTTTAGAACAAATATTTTGTAATGACCCCTTTACTATCCTGAATTTAAATTCATAAATGATACAACCTACCCACACAAATTTAAAATGCGTCCTTATCTCTACTATAAAGGCAGAAATGAAAGTCATTTGTAGTAAAGTAATATAAACAATCTTTGAACATGTGAGCGCTGAGGCCCAACAACAGGAGAAGTCATAATGAGGTAGGCAGATGCTTACACCTATCCTTAGACTCGCGGAAAAGGAACTGCTACACATGCAGTATGATACAGGTGCTGAGCTGGTGACTCAACTACCTCCAGCATGTTGCCATCAATGAAATGATTAAATGAAATGTTGAACAACTCTTGGTAGCAAAGTCAGTCTTCCCTAAATTTACACAGAACTGTAATTGCATTCCTAGAAAGTTCATTGTATATTACAGCCAAAAAAAAAAAAAGAAGAAGCTGTATTAAATTCTAGGCTCTGATAATTAAACACAGGCTTTTACCTACATGGATGTCCTAGGGGACATTTGGGAATCTGGATGAGGGACAATTCTTCACTGTGCAAACTGTGATTTGAAGTATATCTTACATCCTTGCCCTGCCCATACATATCAATAGCATCCCCTCCATCATTGTAATTAGAACCACACACACACAATGTTCAGAATGTTCCCTTGAGGACTATTGAACTGGAAAGAAGTAGAAGAAAGGGAGAAAAAGCAAAGGACATAATTTCTAATACTCAAAGGACAGCCACCTCTCCTCTGAGTGGTCTGTTTTCCTAGCAGGGCAAAACCAAAAAAATGTGGGTGCCATCTAAAACAAAAAGATTGAATTATTGAAGAAGATTAGGAGGAGAGTAGTCCCCCAGGCTGCTTTGGAAAGGTGGGTGTCCTGACTGGCTTCTCCACAGGCTGGTTCAGTAGTCTCGATGGTAAGGTACCCTCCCTTAGAACTCCTTCATGCTCCTGTGCAGTCCTGTGTCTTCTCACAAACACAGACCCCAGACCAAATAAACCCAAGTCTCACAAAGAGCACAGACCCCAGACCAAATCCATCCAAGTCGACTCCAATTCATGTGTTACAGAGAGCTGCTTCATAGGGTTTTCAAGGTTGCAACCTTTTGGCTAGAAGTCAAGTACTTAACTGTTTGCCCCACCCAGGGACCCTTATGTAGGGGACTATCTGACCAAACGCTCACCATCCTCATCCAGTCTTTCATTCAGGCAATTTCTCTTAGACTTCCCTGACGTCTTATCTGAAATCAAAAATAGGAGGGATGGCTTCTTAAATCCCCCCTGAAAAAAGATGAGGGAGACCTTTCTAGAGAGGAGTGTTATGCTTAGTGTGATGATTCTATGAAACTCAAAGTTAGTTTGATGACATCCATTGCCACCCTGTCTATGCTACAATCAGAAAGGGAAACAACATGAATGTTCAAACCATGAAGTCTTCATTAAGCAAATTGGAATGTAGCTATTCAAAGGATGTTTAAAAGAGTATGTCGGGGCTTCAAAAAGTTCATGGAAAATATGAAAATTTTCCACAAACTTTATGACCATTATGAGTCTGTGTTTAAAAAAAAAAAGAATACAAACTCTGTACAACTGTGGCAAACACGCATATATATGTATATTTTTAAACTGTAAGAAAATACCTCAGATGTTAACAGTGTTGGACTTTGGTCCATGAATTAATGGGTAACATTTTTTGTTCATAGTTGCTACAAGTATCACCTATATAATCTCTTTTATATTCTTCTTAAACTTCTCTAAGAAAGTTGAATCCGCAAAGCTAAAATCTATAATTCATTTGGGCAGAGGCATTTGAGAGTGCTGACAGGAACTCTGATCATATTTACTATACAAACCTCTCACCTTTTTCCACCAGGGCTTGTGACTTCTTGTCACACCTTTTCAACTTCCAGTATCACTTTCAGTTCTGTTAAGGTCCCTCCTACACAGAGTCCTGGTGTGGTGCTGTGGATTAATGCACTAGTGTACAAAGTTGCTTTGAACCACAAGGTTGGTGGTTGAAGCTCACCAGCTGCTCCTTGGAAACCCTATATGGGGGTCGATATGGGTTAGAACCAACTTAACAATATCTCTGCTTGAGTATCCTAACCCCACTCTCTCTACCTCAAATCCATTTCCTTCTACACTAAGCATAACACTGCTCTCTGGAAAGGTCTCTCTCATCTTTCTTCCCTCATTTCTGCCTTTGATAATACTATCTCCTTTTACAATTTTACCAGTTTTTCATGGAGATGGTTGAGTTCCTATTCTGGTTACAATCGTCTAGTTCATCTTATTCCCCATACTTTGCTTCTATCCCAACCCTAAAGAGCATAGAACCCAGAACTTAACACCCAGGAAGACTGAAAACATATTAATCCTCAATTGACTGAGGATCTGCTAAATGCTAGGTGTTTTTCAGAGGGTGTCTAATCTAATTCTCATACAACATGTAAAGTAAATATTCTTACTTGTTGTTGTTAAGTGCCATTGAGTCGGTTCCAACTCATAGCAACCCTGTATAGGGTTTCCGAGGAGCAGCTGATGGGTTTGAACCACTGACCTTGTGATTCACAGTCCAGTGCTGACCCAACCCATTGTATCAGAAGTCCATTCTTACTTGAGGGATGAGTAAACTGCAATTTAGAAAAGTTAAGAAGGTCAAAGGTAACACAAAGGCAATATTTGAACTTAAGTCCATTTGTCTGTTTCTAAATTCTTTTCATTGTATTCAGAGATTTCATTTCAGAGTAATCTTCTTACCCTACTTCCAGCCCAAGTCATTGCCTATCAAAGGGTCAAACTGCATTTCTACTCCATTGTTTCATTGGAATTAGTCACATTTGAAGGGAAGGTATCCATGTACTACTACATTAAAATTTTGTCTTCAGGGAGGGTTTTCTGTCTCAAAACTCTTAGTGTTTGAGGCAAAGGTTGAAAATTATTTTTAAAAATGTGTGGAGCAGAAATAGAATCAGAAGGATAGGGATTTTTTTTTTAATTCAACTTTTAAAATGCTCCAGTATGTCTTCACATACATACAAAAAATGTAGGTGAAAGAATAAATTAAAAAAAAAAAAAAAAAGTATGGAGCAAAGGTTGAAAATTCAGCATTAAGTTATTTACACTTGGGGCTTCAAAGTGTAAATAATTGGTTTCTTAATGAGGACCTGATGTGGTGCTGTAGGATCAACATTGGACTGAAAACCACAAGGTCGGCAGTTCAAATCCACCAGCTGCTCCTCGGAAACCCTATCAGGGTTGCTATGATTCAGAACTGATTCGGGAGCACTTAACAATTCCAATGAGGACCTAAGTCCTGCCATCACACTTTAATATCCTTAATACTGTCCTGATTGATATTTCCCCTTATTTTTCTTTTATATGTTTTTGTTCTTCCTTCCTTGATAGGAATCATTGGTGTAAAAGGCTGGGAAACAGGAAAAGCTTTCTTTAGCAAATCCTCTCCATTGTTCCTCCCACAGGATTCTAGATTTGACATCACATTCTTTTTTCTTTTAAAATAAATTGTCACATTAATTGACATAATTTTTTTTCATAATAACTTCTGTTATTTCTGGCATTGGTTCTTTGTGCCAGTAAAAGGAAAGAGGAAAATTACAAAGTTATATATCGACTGTGTTATTATAGGCATATACTCATTTCGTACAGGTGAACAAGACTAGGATTGACAAAGCTTCAAGGACATAAGAAAACAACATACACACATTGTAAATACCTACTTTGACCTTTACCTTCCAACCACGAGTCTTTTTCTCAGAGCCAGTAACTAAATTACTAAGTAAATATCAGAGTGTTAATGCCATACATAATTTCTCCATAATTGAGTCTTTACATAATACAAGAATGAATAAAGTGTAATTAAAGCACTAGATTGGCCCACGCAACAAAAAGAAAAAGATTGTCCCTTTTTCCAAAGGGTATATGAGGTCAGGTTAACAGATTTAGAAAAGGCTCAGTTCTTAGATACAGATTTAGTGAGCATTTCTATTTATGTATAGACTTCTGGGATTGCCAGAGAATTGAATTTTAAAAGACTTCAAAATAAACAAGTACTATCAAAGGACAAATTGCACTGGACCCATCTGTTGTGTAAGACCTCTTTAAAGTGTTCAAGAGCAAAAAATGTCACTTTGAAGGCCAAGGTGTGCCTGACCAAAGCCATGGTTTTTTCAATAACTTCATATACCTGTGAAATCTGGACAAGGAAGACCAGAGAAGAATTGTGGTATACATGAAGAATATTGAAAGTACCACAGACTGCCAGAAGAACAAACAAATCTGTCTTGAAGGAAGTACAACCAGAATACTTGTTAGAAGCAAGGATAAAACTTCTTCT